AAATAATGTAGTGAAATGTACATAAACATGAAAAAATGATATCAATAGGCGGATATTAGACCATATCTTTTCATATAAACTTTGAACTTGTCAAGTATTAACAAATGGCCAAACATACACGGCCAACGATGGTCAGTTCTAATTGATCTCTTATGATTAGACATGATGAACAGAAAACTATCTAACCCATAGCACAGTGAGGATAGCTGTGTACATAAGTAATAGGTGGCCGGGGACGGACGGCGGGGGCCTGTTGTAATAAACACATAACAGATCCCTGGGGCGGGAGGGGGAGGTGGAGGTGGATGTTTGCGGGGGCTGGGCAGGAGCGTGCAGGGGCCTCAATTGGAGGGTTCTAAGGTGTGACTGGAGAGAGGAGAGAGGGAAAGTGTCTAAAACAGAGAGGGGACTTACCGGCGAACCTAACACTGTGGGGGATGAGCAGGACCAACAGGGAGCCTCAAGTGGAGGATAGGGCAGGAGCGGGCAGGGCCTCAATTGGAGGGTTCTAAGGTGTGACTGGAGAGAGGAGAGAGGGAAAGTGTCTAAAACGGAGAGGGGACTTACCGGCGAACCTAACACTGTGGGGGATGAGCCGGACCAACAGGGAGCCTCAAGTGGAGGATAGGAAAGTGTGTGAGAGAGGGTGACCAAAGATAGATAACAAGGCTAAAAAGACTCCTGGACATGGATGGCTGGTGTCGCTATATACAAATTATTGATGGTCAAAGGTGGATAGAGAGGGAATGTCGTCAGGTAGTCCAACGGTCTGTCTGTCTGTCTCTTCCGTGCCTCACTCTCTCTCTCTATCTCTCTCTCTCTCTCTTTCTCTCTTTCTCTTTCTCTCTATCTATCTATCTATCTATCTATCTCTCTCTCTCTCTCTCTCTCTCTCTCTCTCTCTCTCTCTCTCTCTCTCTCTCTCTCTCTCTCTCTCTCTCTCTCTCTCTCTCTCTCTCCCCCTCTTCCCTCATCCCCTTACATAGTGGGGACCGGACTGAGAGAAAGGAGAGGACACTCCGATATCTCTCCGCCGACCTGTCATAGTTCGTTAAGCGTGAATATGTGCAGAGGACAGTAAGCTGATCGTGAGCTCTGTGGTTGCTAGATTCTGCCCTCCAAACCTCCAATTCCCCCCCTTCCCACACACACAAACACACAAACACACACACACACACACACACACACACACACACACACACACACACACACACACACACACACACACACACATCCACCCCACCCTCCGCCCCCGCCCTCTCTCTCTCTCTCTCTCTCTCTCTCTCTCTCTCTCTCTCTCTCTCTCTCTCTCTCTCTCTCTCTCTATCTATCTATCTATCTATCTATCTATCTATCTATCTATTTCTCTTTCTCAGCGGGGCTGGGCAGGAGCGGGCAGGGGCCTCATTCTGCCTTTGGTCTGGGATTGGGAAGGAACACCGCATGGTAAGCCCGCCTACAGACAACCTTCAGTAACACCCACCACACACCCACCACCATCATGCACACGTACACACACAAACTTAAACACACATTAACTAAACATGATCAGTGGGCAACTTTGAACGTATGACGAGCTGAGCTGTGAATGGAGAGATAGCATGAGTGAAAGAACAGGTGAAAGGAAGAATGTACGAGTGTATCCACAGGCGACAGCAACTACAAGACGACGACACCGACCCCCCTGGCCTGGTCCACAGCTCACGAACGAAAGGAATGCGGCTAAGGCAGTGTTTTGCCTATATTATTGTCCATGGTTCGCAGGGAGCAAGGGAATGTGTGAGATTTTCTTTGTGTGTGCCTGGAGGCGGAGGGAGGGGTGGGGTGTGAAAGTCATGCGGACGGGGATGAGCCGCGGGAGAGAACACGGGAATTAAATCAATGAGTGAAGCTGAAAGAGAGGAACGACTCATGAGCCCTGGAGTGAATGGATCCTGTGTTTCTATTTTTGTATACTTTGAACTGTTACTGAATAAAGCCCGAAAAACAAACACCTGCACGCTCCTCACTCTCCACTTACACACTTTACTACCACACACAGACACACTCACACACGCACATGCATACACACACACACACACACACACACACACACACACACACACACACACACACACAAGCAAATTTTTAGGTCTATATATCTATTTAAATTTTCAAGAGCTAGTCTGGCTAGTCTAGAGATTTTTAGATGAGTGTAAAAACGTGAAAAAGAAAGGTTTCACAACAGAATGAAATCAAAATTAGAACAGCCCATAAACAACCACAAAAATTAACAAATAAGGGCGTGAGTCCACCTGTCCGAAGAAGATTGGCTGTTTTAACACTAAATGTGCGTAATTTTAAAACAAAGTACAGGATATTACAAGTAGATTATGGGAATCACACACATTTAAGGGGTCTGCCAGTGTCAGTACATGTGATCGGCTTTGGGTGGAACGTATGCTCTAACATAACACATTTAAATCTATATATTTATACATGTGTATATATATATTTAGAATCTAATGAAGGTAGGAACATCAAATTAAATGACGTTACACTATATACCCCCCCCCCCCTTTTCCTCATTTAAAAAATTGATAGAAAAACAACACATCAGAACAATAACAAGAAAGAAATAAATACACACTAACAAAATAAAACACCACAAAGAGGGAAAAATAAAAGTAACTGTAACGTATTCAACAAATCAACGTGGTGACAACAAGTGAGAAAGAGACGAAGTGAAGCTAGGTGAACTTTCTTTCAAAAGTAAAGAGGTTCGGTTTCTTTCTTTTTTTAAAATTTGACTTTCATCCTCCGATTTGGGGACCAAAAAATGCAAAAAAATCGAGCCACGATTGATTGGTCGCAGCCGCAACAAACGCAGATATCTATGCTAGTTCTATGTGTCGTTATCAATAACCCTCTGTAGATCTAGATCTAGACTAGACAGCACACGAGTGAACACAACACATTAAGTCATTAAGTTTAACTTAAGAGCAGCACCCTTCATAGGCAACACGTCATATCTGTAGCGAAAAACTTTGGAACTGTAGCGTTTCTTTATAAATATTTACTGCGGACATTTTTTTGACCGATTGAACCATATTGTATACGAACAATCTTTGGTAGACCTATACTATAATTATACATCTATATAATATCCGAAATTTGCGGAAAGGATGTGATTTCAGAGTGTTCGGAGAAATAGTGCCCAGCTTTATTTTCCCGAACGTTCGGAGAAATAGTACCTAGCTTTATTTTCCCGAACGTTCGGAGAAATAGTGCCTGCCTTTTATATATACGCTTACGCGGCTATAGAATTGTATCAAAATGGCGGACGACTTGGCTGAAGACTGGTGGGTTGAAGAGGGAGAACCCGGTATGTATTATTTTTAAAATTTAAAACAAAGAATAACAATCCCCTGTTTTTATTCGGAGTTATATAAATAGGTACTAGATCTATAAATATAAAGATCTAGATCTAGATCTAGATCTAGATCAAAATACTTATCTTGCACGAAATGAAGTAATTCTTTGAAAGATAACTGGGAGGGTTGTTTCATTTTTCATTCTCGGCGTTCTCCACGTGCTTTTTTTTTACTTTAAAAAACTTTTTTGTTTGTTTGGTCTTGGCTGTCAACAAGTCAGTGCTTTTTCAGTAGTTCCCACCCCTTTTATTTGAGTCTAGATCTAGGGGAGGTTGTTAAATTGATGCGCGGCCAGCTAAGGCTAAGGCTAAGATACAAAACACATGCGATTAAAAGTAGAAATGATGCAAACTATTTTTAGGTAAGGCGCCCATCTTGTTTGACGTCAGACCAGGATACCCCTCCGATCACGTGACTACATCTAAGTATAGACAACCGCATGGCACCAAAGATGAAAGTGTCTATGTATATTATGCTTAATCTACACATATTTCTCGGAATTGCTGATAGCTGATTTGATAGCGCGTCTGCGTTTGATGTCGAGCAATGACTTTTGGAGCGGTTCGATTCCGGTCCCGGACAGTTTTTTTTTCTCTTTTCCTCCTCCCGACTGACCAACAGTTCCATAAATTATAGGCCTAATTTGTAGAGTTGCTTTGACTTTGAAGTTGTTGTTTATTTTTTAAAATGTATTAGTGATTAAAAATGCAGGAGGGGGGGGGGGGGTGGTAGATCTAAATTTAGATATCTAGATCTAGTCCTCCTGCGTCTTTACGGCAATTTTCGTGCGGTCTTCCATCATGTCCAGGTAGGCCTAATAGATCTAGATCTAGAATCTAGATCTAGATCTAATCTAGAATCTAGATCTAGATTCTAGATCTATATCTAGATTCTAGATCTAGATCTAGATCTAGAAAATCCGAAATGTTACCGAAAACACATCGTTCCATGTTTGGGTATCCCAGGAAGTGATGACATCACATTACTAAAATAAGCAGCCAATCAGAAAGATGCGTCATTTCTAAGTTTAACGGCATGTATACAAAACCCAAACAACTGGAAACCATCAATCATCAAATTGTGGTAACGGAGTGTCTAGATCTAGATCTAGATCTACATGTGTACACACGGTAACCGGGCACCTAGATCTAGATCTAGATAGATATCTAGATTCCAGCCTCAGTGTCTACATACACGGTAGCAATGCCCACCGAGCGCGTTTTGTTCTGCCGATTTTTGGCCCCCGCAGCGGGGGTGTTTCACGGGTCGCACTAACGCAAAGGTTGTTGTCTTCAATTCGCTCTCACGCCGCTTCTCGTGAATGGATATGAATGAAACTTGGCAGCCAATCAGAAAAGAGGTCAATCTAGTAGTATGCAGTTTGACAACATTGTATCCATCCTAGAATCCTAGAAGCAGTCGGAAACGTTTGCGAAAGTGGTTGATGTGGTGCGCTTTGAAGATTTTTCGGAGCTGTGATTTGTCAAACTGACTGATACGTTGTACACCATTTTTCTTTATTCCCTTAAAATTTCAAGCTTCTGTTTTTAGCGTTTTTTGCGTTATCTTTAAAAATGTGGGAGTAACTAAGGGAAAAAGCTTTAAAAGCTGCATTGCCATTTGCGAACGACCTGCGGCTGGGAAATTTCCACTGAGTGACGTCATCAGCCATCGGTCGCCTCGGGCGCTACAAACGAGGCCCCGCTAATGTGAACCGGAAAGGGGGGGAAGGATACTTGAAAACTAAACGGGGACCCTGACAACTTGCGTTTGTGTTGCATTTTAGTCACAATACAATAGATATGTCATGTAGTCATTTGTATTTGCTTGATTGCATGACAGAAGAATAGAAATAGAAAAGCAAACATCTTGAGAACTGGTAGAGCAATTGCCAAAACGTGAGACTCTCTTGAGACTCAGTGGTGCAAAAAAATTTTTCTTACCAATTTGACTCTCTTTTCTGTCAGTCACAGATTGACATTTTTTAGTGCTCATATTCCTA